CGCCGCGTCGCGCTGCCACTTCGACATGTCACGCCTTCATTTCGCCTCGTCGCGCCACCTTTCGCCACGTCGCCCCACCATTTCGCCACGTCACGCCGCCATTGCGCCACGTCGCGCCGCCATTCATCATCTAAGGATTGGCCAATGGCGGTTTGCCCCCACCCATCAATGCAATGCTGCCCATTAAAGAGTTGTTCCGAGCGTAAACTGTCCCTTCCCTTCTTGTCCACCCGCCGCCATCACACTAGCTTGCATCTGCAGGCCGCTGTATGTTGGGGTGTGGCCATGTCATGGCCTGGTGGTCCTGCATTATGGTATTTTCTGCTCTGCTCGGGTCTGGTCTGGTCGTCCTCTCTGCTGTGATGTTTGCTTGCCGGCAGGTGGGAGGAGTGAGGCAGAGGGCGAGTGATTTGGCAGCAGTGTGGAAGTTGTAACGAGGCGATCGCCGGGCCGAGAAAGGACGGAAGTCTCGCGTTGCTGCTCTCTTGGTCAAGAGCCTTAGAACCCTCCCCCTCTGCCTTTCGTCCCTCCCCTCAACCTTGTGCAGCAGGCGTGCCAGCATGCATGGGGGAGGGCATTCGAAGGGTGGCGGGTAGGATGGGAGTGATGTGAGCGCCGTATGGGCCGGCTCAGCATGCTCAATTAGAAGATCAAGCGCCGTATCGTGCGCTGCGACGACCGACGGGTTTAAATTGATGTCGCCCATTCCAGTGTCTCCCGCGACACGCGCTTCGCTGAAAAGGATGATGCTGCCACGCACAGCTCGCGTTTTTCCAAGTGACTATTCGCAGCAACGAGTTGGGGTACAGCCTAGCCCGAGAACCTCGATGCGGCTGTTTCTCCTCAGTGGCGCGTTGCTCATCGCGCGCGAGATGGGCTGGAAGCGGACATGCGAAGGTGATGCCTGGCAACGAGGACGGGCTGAGGACGGCGATGGAGAGATCTGAGAGAAGCAAACGGGATGAGATGAATGAACGGACGAGATGGATGACTGAATGGACGGGATGAGATGAATGAACGAACGACAAGGCGAACACAGCGCGTGGCATGCATGATGGTACATGATGCCTCCCTCCTGCCCTCTCATTCATGCCTTTTCCTCCCCTGCCTGCTTCTCGCCCCCATCAAGCCCCCAACTCTGTCTATCCACTTCAGAAGTCTCTTGCCTGCTTCCCTTGCTCTTAGTCATTATTCCCCTTTATAATACCCCGTGCCACTTGTGGCATCGCTCCGTACTCACCCTCTCCGTTTCCCCCCCCTTCCGTGGAGCGCTGCCGATCCATCTAGTAAGAGGCGCCTACTAGGTCCTCACATGCACTTGTCTCTCTTCCCATAAGTCCCTCTCCACATCGTTCACCCCTACCTAAGTCCAACTGTCCCTACTTCCACAAGCATAGCGCTCTACATGTCTACTCATTTTGGCTCTCGCCTCTACCTTCTGATCTGCCCCTCTCCAACGGCTCCTATGAGAGATCCAAAACAATATTACCTGCCCCCATCCAATACCCCATCCTCCCTTGTCCACGTCCCCTCCCCTCCCTTTCTACTTCCCCTACCCACTTCCTCCCTTCAACCGCTTCCTGTTTCTCACCTTCAACCCTGGGCCGATTTTTCTGAACTGTCAACCCGCGTTGAGCCAGCCTAGCCCGGTACTCAGGACCGGACATGGCCCGAGTCACAGCTTGGGGTTTCCGGCACTGGGCCGGGCCAGTTCGGGCTATGCTTCGGCGGGGTTCGGGGGGGGGCAGTGATGTCGCCCACATGGACTATTGCTGTCGGGAGTTTCCACCGTCGCCTCTACAAACACATTTCCAGTTTCTGGTAGGTATGGTGATCGCTCACTACCTCGTGTATGTATGACTCATCACATGTATCCCTTTCCTTTTTCCCTCCTCCCTCCTATTCTTCCTCTCCATTTCCAGCTCTCACACTTACCTAATGTGCCCTCCATTGCTGCCCTTGCATTCTTCCATCTTCTCCTCCCTTTCGTCCTTCTCCCTGTCACGCCCAGCTAATGCACTTTGGTGTGGCAAGTGTGTTCGTTTGCTTATGCCTACTTCTCTTGCTGCCCCTGCTATTGCCCCCCTTCAACTCTCCCACATGCTCTTCTTCCATCCAACCCCCACACCCCCCCCCCCCCCCTCCCCCCCCCCCCCCCCCCGCCCCCCTCCCCTCTTTAACAGTTCATGCGCGTTGGCACTGAGAGGCTGTGTGTATGTGGGCACATGACATGATGTTCGAGCTGTGGCCGCATAGCCCGATGTTTCGATATATTTCACAAAAATGGAAATTATGATGTCGTTTTGCCCTGCAGCGATCTGCCACGACCGACAGTTGATCTTACCGTCGACGCAATTATCACTAGTTGCGTGCGATGTTCTCATTAAGAGGTCAAACGAAGGTGATGAGCCTGATGGTGAGGCCATCCTGTCGTATCGCTGTTTCCGCGTTCATCAGCAGCTCCGTCGTTCCAATTTTCAGCAATATTCATTGCAGCACTCATTGCACCTATCGCAGTCGCGGCACTCATCGCACTCGTTGCACGCCCCGCACCGCTGCGCCGAGGCAGCAGGAGGAACGCAGGCGATACCGCCTATAACAGTAAGGCGTTTCTGGTGCTGGTTTGCTGACGGGACAGAATGAATCCGTGCATCGCTTTCCAGTGCGTCTCATTCCGCATTTTCGGAGGATGCACTGCCAGATCGTGCCAGTAGGTGGAAAATGCAGAGCCTCTCATCTGACGAGCTCCCAATGGGAGCCGGGCGACCATGGTGCGAGCTGAGAGAAACCGAGAACGGAGGAATACGCCTTCGCCACATTGGCAGGTGAATCGTAGCCACCCTTCTCTTATCCCTCCCATTGCGCCGAGTCTCCTATTCGCGCTTATAGTGGCATTTTTTGTGCCAGTGTGCTCCCAAAGGCACTGCATCAAAGCACTACATTCCCCGCATGCATGACCATCACCTGTCGTCCACCTCCCCCCCTCCCTCTCTGAGTTACGTCTCTATCTTTTGACCCCTCCCTCAACTCCCTTCCCCTTCCGCACCAACATCACCTTTCATGAACTAGCCATGAGGTCCCCAACTCATCTCTGCGACACACGACCTCGCAGCATGGCAGAGCCACGATAGTACATCAGACGAAAAGTGGGGGGCATGCAAGCGACGAGAGATGCGTTGGAGGGAAGAGTGGGGCAGCAGCAGCCGTAGTTGTGACTCTGTGTAAGTGGGCGCTAGCTGCGTGCTCAACGTATCCTACGCTGAGCTCCATGTGAGAGCGAGCGCATGGCAGCATCACATGCAATCAGTGTGGATGGCTTCACAACTGATGGCAGGCAGGGCGACATGCAAACATGGAGATTAGAGAAGCGGGGTAGGCAAAGGAAAACGAAAACAAATTTAAGATGCTATCTCCTTTTTCCAACTTTTGTCGCTGGTCACGCCTGCCTGTCTTTGTCCCTTCGCCTATCCGCGCCTAGTCTCTCGTTTTTGGCGCTAGTTTGCTGATTTGCAGAATGAATGCTTCCCCTGTGCAATGCCATCAGCAGCTATGTTCCACTCCCCTTTTCCGTGCTCGGCAGTGTGCATCAAATTTCTTCCCTCCACACGCCCTTTCCCTTCCCACACCAACAGCACCCTGCCTTCGTGAGGATCCCACACATCTCTGTGACACACAGCCGGGCGGCATGTCAGAGCCATTTGCAGCACCAAAAGAAGCAGCAGCAGCAACAGTCGTGGCAGTGAAGTCGATCAGTGGCGGGCAGGAGAGAGGGTCAGGGCAGCGAAGAGCAAAGGCCATTGATGCGACCTGTTGACCGTGTGCATCACCTGCATGCTGCTCTTTGCACGTTGGTGACGTGGGGCTTTTTTTTTAGGCACCCGTTGAGGAATAAAGAGGTGAGAGCACATGGAATCATCACATCCAGTGGTTTATTCACCACACCTTCTCTTCCCCTGCACTCCCCTGATCTCCCCTCGGCTGCTTCGGGAAGTCGCCTCGCCATGATGGCAAGATATGTGTGGAGCGAGATGAAGCTGGGGAAGATGACAGAAAACAAATGGATTGAGTGAGGATAATCAACATCCCAAATACAAAGGTTTCGAGCTTATGGCTAGGGTATTTCACATATGGGCACATGAGATGAGAAGGCATGCCTCTTCACGGGGAACGATTGTGTCAAGACAGCTCCAATTGAAAGATCAAATACTTTATTATTGCCTTGTTTTTGCACTCTAGTTATAACCGGTAGTCCTTTATGCCTAAGGTGTGGTCTATAATGAAGCTTGTACCGTAATTTTGTAACTACAAAATTCACTGTTGTATGATGATTTTTTTCCAATTCTTGAACTGTTTGCTGGGTTCCATCACCAAGCTTCACCGAGCTTAATCGAGCCGCACCCAGCTTCACTAGGCTCCACTCGGTAATACAACACAGCCTGATTTCCCCCCGAGTTCATGGCTCCTCTTCACTCCACGCCGTCGCTCACGCTGAGAGTCCGTTAAAAAAATCCCCCAGGCGAGGTCCTTACGTGCAACAGCACCATCCGTGCACCCAAGCCTCGGCTCGTGCGTGCATGGCGACTCCGCGGCGCGTATACTCGAAGGCGCACGGACGGCCGGTGTACTCCCGGCCGTCTCGGCCTCCCCGCGTTCCGCGACGTCGTCGCCGTTCGGCCTCTTCGAAGGCTCCGCGTGCACCCCGCAAGTGAATCTCGCGCGCGCGCGCGCTGATGATGCCGGAACCCGCGAGGAGCACTCGATACATGCACACAGGCGGCGATGCATGAGAAACGTGAGATAGCTTGGCGCTGTCTCCTCGCCAAACGTAATACCGACTCCCCGAGCTGTCTGCTGCTTTCCTGCTCTCCCCGCGAGCCGCGAGCAAGTTGTGCTAGAGCCTCCCCACCTACGCACGTCCGCGTGATGCGCTCATCCGCCCCACGCGGCGCTCTGCCCTGCCCCAGCTGTGAAGGGACTGGGGCGAGCGCGTCTCGCCTCGGATGCTTGTTGGGTCAACGGATACCAGCCACCTTCCCGTCCCTTTCCCGCCCTCGCCCTCGCCATCCCCCAGTCTCATCACCCCTCCTTCTCGACCTGCTGTTACCGCCCTTTCTCCCTTCGCCCCACTCCCCTCCTCGAGCGTTATGCCTGCCGGAGAGAATCTGCGTGTAATCCAACACGTGCAAGCAGCGCTTCCATTGGAGCACGTGAGGATCGCTCGCGTCGCCCCGCCGTCTCCCCCTCTTCCCTCGCCCTTTTCCCTCCCTAATCTCCTTTCCGCCCCCTCGCCTTCGCCCCCGTTCCCGCCCCCCTGTCCCCACAACTCTGCTTATTTCCCCTCCCTCGGATCCTCTCACGCGGCCTGCTTATATCCCCAATCCGCTCCCCGCCCCAGTCCTCCCCACCCTCCCCCTTCCTTTCCCGTCTCCACTTGCACTGATTGTTGCACCTGCAGTGGTTTGCAGCAACCCGCCGCCACCCAGTTGACTTCTTTCCTCCCCCCTCCCCCCCATCCGCCTCTCTTGGCCTCAATCCCTTACTTCCTCAACATGTCCTCCTTGCCTCCCCTGCCTGCCTGCTTTTCCTCTTCCCCCCCCTCTGCACTCCCCCTTCTCTCCTCTCCCCTCTCCCCTCACACCGTGCCACTGTGCCTCAGATCACCCCTCCCCTCATCTTCCCTTCCCCTCATCTTCCCTTCCCCTCATCTTCCCTTCCCCTCATCTTCCCTTCCCCTCATCTTCCCTTCCCCTCATCTTCCCTTCCCCTCATCTTCCCTTCCCCTCATCTTCCCTTCCCCTCATCTTCCCCGTTCTCCCCTCATCTTCCCCGCTCTCCCCTCATCTTCCCTTCCCCTCATCTTCCCCGTTCTCCCCTCATCTTCCCCGCTCTCCCCTCATCTTCCCTTCCCCTCATCTTCCCCGTTCTCCCCTCATCTTCCCCGTTCTCCCCTCATCTTCCCCGCTCTCCCCTCATCTTCCCTTCCCCTCATCTTCCCAGGCAGGCAGGAAGGCAGGCGCGAAGGGTGTGAAGGGCGCGAAGTAGTGGGAAGCGACGCCGATTCTTCAGTAGCCGGCGCGAGAAGGTAAATGCGCGAGCAGGGGAGTGGGAGGGCCCTCGCGATGGAGTCAGGAGCAAGAGCACGAGCCGCGATGGAGTTAGAATCGCCACGATCCGAACATCCTCTCTCGCGCTCTCCTTCTGCCCCTCGTCCTTGCTGGCGAAGGTGCTCGCGTCTTTCGAGGCGCCTCAACCGGCGGCGACGGTGGTGGGCGGCGCTGCCCTCCTCCGCCGTGGACGAGGCGCGGGCGCCATGCTCGCATGCTGCCTGATTCATTCGCGCGGAGGTACGTGCGGCGCTACCCTCCGTCGCCACAGACGAGGAGGGCAGGGCGTGGTGGGGAGGGCAGGGCGCGGTGGGGAGGGCAGGGCGCGGTGGGAAGGGCAGGGCGCGGTGGGGAGCGAGGATGGGGAGGGAAGGGCGCAGTGGGGAGGGGGGAAGGTGGGGAGGGGAGGGCGCAGTGAGGAGGGGGGAAAGTGGGGAGGGGAGGGCGCAGTGGGGAATGGGGAAGGTGGGGAGGGGAGGGCGCAGTGGGGAGGGAGGAAGGTGGGGAGGGGAGGTGCAGTGGGGAGGGGGGATGGTGGGGAGGGGAGGGCGCAGTGGGGAGGGGGGATGGTGGGGAGGGGAGGGCGCAGTGGCGAGGGGGGAAGGTGGGGAGGGGGAGGCGCAGTGGGGAGGGGGGAAGGTGGGGAGGGGAGGGCGCAGTGGGGAGGGGGGAAGGTGGGGAGGGGAGGGCGCAGTGGGGAGGGGGGAAGGTGGGGAGGGGAGGGCGCAGTGGGGAGGGGGGAAGGTGGGGAGGGGAGGGCGCAGTGGGGAGGGGGGAAGGTGGGGAGGGGAGGGCGCAGTGGGGAGGGGGGAAGGTGGGGAGGGGAGGGCGCAGTGGGGAGGGGGGAAGGTGGGGAGGGGAGGGCGCAGTGGGGAGGGGGGACAGTCGCGGCGCTGCCCTCCGCCGCGTCGGGCAAGCCACCACCTTTGCTGCCCGCGTGAGATGCAGGAGGTGTGAGGGCGGAGTGGACAGGATGTGATGCGAGAGGAGCGCTCTTGCAGCTGAGGAAGCAGCAGGTTTTTGTGTGTGCGTGGGTGCAAGTCTGCCCTCGCTCTCACACCTCTCTGCTTTTCGTGTTTTCCAGAATGGCAGCATCAAGCACAAGGTGCAGCGTGCGAAGGCGTTTGTACAACAGGGGCTGAGGAGGGGAGCGAGGAGGGGCGCGAGGAGGGGAGCGAAGAGGAGTGAGAAGGAGGAAAGTGAGGAGGTGAGTGAGGAGGAGAAGTTGAGGGTGTGTTGGTGCGGAGAGATGAGAGGGGGAGGGGGCGAGTGGGGAGGGTGAGGGGGAAGATAGGGGGGTGGGCGATTAAGGAGAAAGGAGGAGAGGGGAGAAGGGGAGGTGCAGGCGAGGGAGGGGAGAGGAGAGTGTGGGGTTGGGGGAGGGGAGGGCGTGGGGGAGATTGTCATAGAGGACACGGGAGGGGAGCAGGTCGATGCGATCAAAGAGACTGAGAAAAAGGGGAGGGGGGCGCGAACAGGGAGAGCGTTGGGGAGGAGGAGAGCAGAGAGGAGGAAAGTAGAGAGGAGGGAGACGAGGGTGGTGAGGAGGGAGAGAAGGAAAAGGAGCAACAAGGTGGAGAGCTGGGAGTTGCTGGGTGAACAGGAGTGGCAAAGAACTGAGGAGGACGAAGCTGCCAGGAAGGAGGAGAGGAGAATGTCAGGGATGACGTCATCAGATTGGAGGGAGGGGAGCAGCAGCAGGCAGCAGAGAGCCAAGGGGCGATCGAGTAGGGGGGGAGAGGCCGGGTGTGTGCGTTGGGGGGGGGGAGGGCAGGTGCGTGCGGTGGGGGGAAAGGGCAGGTGCGCGGTGGGGGGAAAGGGCAGGTGCGCGGTGGGGGGAAAGGGCAGGTGCGCGGTGGGGGGAAAGGGCAGGTGCGCGGTGGGGGGAAAGGGCAGGTGCGCGGTGGGGGGAAAGGGCAGGTGCGCGGTGGGGGGAAAGGGCAGGTGCGCGGTGGGGGGAAAGGGCAGGTGCGCGGTGGGGGGAAAGGGCAGGTGCGCGGTGGGGGGAAAGGGCAGGTGCGCGGTGGGGGGAAAGGGCAGGTGCGCGGTGGGGGGAAAGCCACACAAGTGCCCCAGGTGCGTGCGGGTGGGGCGGGTGGGGGGGGCAGGGCCTCGGCCTCTCCTCCCCTTCCACTTCCCCTCACCTTCCCTTTCTGCCCCCTTTCCCCGCCCCAATTTCTACTTTCTCTACAATCCAGGGTACGCCTTGTCCCCTCCCAGGGGCAAGCCTGGCCCGGCATTATCGCTGTGACTCAGCCAAGGAGAGTGCCAGTGCTGGCGACGGCCAAGCGTGAGTTCTGATACGCCTAAAAAAACTCTCTCCCCTCCGTTTCCTCTTCCCCCCTCCTTCCTCTCTTCCCCTCCCCCTCTCCCCCCCCCCCCCCCCCCCCCTCTCCCGCTTCCCTCACCCTCCCTTCCCCCCCACTTCCCCTTCCCCCGCCCCAAACCCGACACCCCCCACGTGTCTTTCGAGGCGCCTCAAAGGGCGCCAACGGTGGTGGGCGGCGCTGCCCTCCGCCGCGTCGGACAAGGTGCGGTCGCCGGATGAGGTGCAAAGGGAGGGCGCAGTGGGTAGGGGAGGGCGCAGTGGGTAGCGGAGCAGTTTAGAGGCGCCTTAAAGCCCGCGTCTCATATTACACAACTCCCAACCAAGTGTAATATGCTTGATATCCAGTAACCCTGCCTCTTGTCGCCAAACTGCACCTTCGCTCTGTACAGGTTTGGGGGTGGTTTGGAACGTGCAAATTGGCAAGCTACAGTGTTGTTACCCCCGCTGCCAAACCCAACCTGTGCTCCATGACCACTGCAGGCGACTGTAAATGCACCACACGATGGTCAACGACGTGTCTGTGGTTCCGTGCGACACCAAAAGTCACACGACACTTCATCCACAGGCAAACCAAGCATATTATAGCTCTCCCATGAAATCTGAGACAAGTTATCACAACCTGAGATAAACATCCCAAGCAGAACTCGACAAACATCCCATGCTAGACCACCTGATTAGCGGCTAAACTAAGACTTCTACTAGTACCACGCACAGCGACCAAGGCACTAGCCAACCCGTTCAAGGCAACGTCGGGCACGGCCCAACGAAGATAATCAAGAGAGAGGAACGACCTGAATACCCACCAGTAAGCGCAAATGCCTTAGGACGTATGAGGTCCCCCGCATATCGCCATCCGTCACATTGGATTTCTCTTGACCTTCCGCGCGACGCGGCATCGCCGGCATTAACGTTCTCCGGAGTGGGTGATTTTAGGTATCAGTCGCGCGCGGTTACGATTTCCGAAGCCCGCATTTAGCATTTCCCGTATCGCTGGCGTTTTCAATTCCCTTAGAGCACATATTCCCTTCCCGTCACTCGCATTTCCCCTGCGACTCGTCCGCATTTCCCTTTCCGTCGCCCACGCGTACTCCCCTCTTGTCGCCCACGCTCACTCCCCTCCCGTCGCCCACGCTCACTCCCCTCCCGTCACCTTCGCTCACTCCCCTATCGCCGCCACGCTCACTCCCCTCCCGTCGCCCACGCTCACTCCCCTCCCGTCGCCCACGCTCACTCCCCTCCCGTCACCTTCGCTCACTCCCCTATCGCCGCCACGCTCACTCCCCTCCCGTCGCCCACGCTCACTCCCCTCCCGTCGCCCACGCTCACTCCCCTCCCGTCACCTTCGCTCACTCCCCTATCGCCGCCACGCTCACTCCCCTCCCGTCGCCCACGCTCACTCCCCTCCCGTCGCCCACGCTCACTCCCCTCCCGTCACCTTCGCTCACTCCCCTCCCGTCGCCCACGCTCACTCCCCTCCCGTCACCTTCGCTCACTCCCCTCCCGTCGCCCACGCTCACTCCCCTCCCGTCGCCCACGCTCACTCCCCTCCCGTCACCTTCGCTCACTCCCCTACCGCCGCCACGCTCACTCCCCTCACGTCGCGTGGGGGAACTCCCCATCCATCGCCCACGCGCGTTTCCCCTTCCGTCGCCCACGCGAACTCCCCTCCCGTCGCCCACGCTAACTCCCCTTCCATCGTGTACACCCATCCCTCTCCTCCTCATCCCTCATGTCCCCGTCCCTCACCTCCCTAACCATCTTCTCCTCACCCCTCATCTCCCCGTCCCTCAACTCCCCATCCCTCTTCTCCCCATCCCTCATCTCCCCATCCCTCTTCTCTCCATCCCTCGTCTCCCCATCCCTCATCTCCCCATCCCTCACCTCCCCATCCCTCCTCTGCTTATCCCTCACCTCCCCAACCCTCTCCTCCCCATCCCTCATCTCCCCATCCCACATCTCCCCATTCCTCTTCTCCCCGTCCCTCATGTCCCCATCCCTCATCTTACCATCCCTCCTCTCCTTATCCCTCACCTTCCAATCCCTCTCCTCCCCATCCCTCCTCTCCCCATCCCCATTCTCCCCATCCCTCATCTCCCCATCCCTCATCTCCCCATCCCTCACTTCCCCATCTCTCACATCCCCATCCCTCCTCTCCTTATCCCTCACCTCCCCATCCCTCTTCTCCCCATCCCTCTTCTCCCCATCCCTCTTCTCCCCATCCCTCTTCTCCCCATCCCTCATCTCCCCATCCCTCTTCTCCCCATCCCTCATCTCCCCATGCCTCGTCCCCCCATCCCTCATCTCCCCATCCCTCATCTTCCCATCCCTCTTCTCCCCATCCCTCATCTCCCCATCCCTCACCTCCCCATCCCTCCTCTGCTTATCCCTCACCTCCCCAACCCTCTCCTCCCCATCCCTCATCTCCCCATCCCTCATCTCCCCATCCCTCATCTCCCCATCCCTCTTCTCCCCATCCCTCACCTCCCCATCCCTCCTCTGCTTATCCCTCACCTCCCCAACCCTCTCATCCCCATCCCTCATCTCCCCATCCCACATCTCCCCATCCCTCTTCTCCCCGTCCCTCATGTCCCCATCCCTCATCTTACCATCCCTCCTCTCCTTATCCCTCACCTTCCAATCCCTCTCCTCCCCATCCCTCATCTCCCCATCCCTCATCTCCCCATCCCTCACCTCCCCATCTCTCACATCCCCATCCCTCCTCTCCTTATCCCTCACCTCCCCATCCCTCTTCTCCCCATCCCTCTTCTCCCCATCCCTCTTCTCCCCATCCCTCTTCTCCCCATCCCTCATCTCCCCATCCCTCTTCTCCCCATCCCTCATCAGGTTATCCCTCATCTCCCCATGCCTCGTCCCCCCATCCCTCATCTCCCCATCCCTCATCTTCCCATCCCTCTTCTCCCCATCCCTCATCTCCCCATCCCTCACCTCCCCATCCCTCCTCTGCTTATCCCTCACCTCCCCAACCCTCTCCTCCCCATCCCTCATCTCCCCATCCCTCCTCTCCCCATGCCTTATCTCCCCATCCCTCATCTCCCCATCCCTCACCTCCCCATCCCTCATCTCCCCATCCCTCATCAGGTTATCCCTCATCTCCCCAACCCTCTTCCCCCCATCCCTCGTCCCCCCATCCCTCTTCTCCCCATCCCTCACCTCCCCATGCCTCACCTCTCCATCCCTCCTCTCCTTATCCCTCACCTCCCAATCCCTCTCCTCCCCATCCCTCATCTCCCCATTCCCATTCTCCCCATCCCTCATCTCCCCATCCCTCATCTCCCCATCCCTCACCTCCCCATCTCTCACATCCCCATCCCTCCTCTCCTTATCCCTCACCTTCCCATCCCTCTTCTCCCCATCCCTCTTCTCCCCATCCCGCTTCTCCCCATTCCTCATCTCCCCATCCCTCACCTCCCCATGCCTCACCTCTCCATCCCTCCTCTCCTTATCCCTCACCTCCCAATCCCTCTCCTCCCCATCCCTCATCTCCCCATTCCCATTCTCCCCATCCCTCATCTCCCCATCCCTCATCTCCCCATCCCTCACCTCCCCATCTCTCACATCCCCATCCCTCCTCTCCTTATCCCTCACCTCCCCATCCCTCTTCTCCCCATCCCTCTTCTCCCCATCCCTCTTCTCCCCATCCCTCATCTCCCCATCCCTCACCTCCCCATCCCTCATCTCCCCATGCCTCGCCTCCCCGTCCCTCTTCTCCCCATCCTTCACCTCCCCATGCCTCACCTCCCCATCCCTCCTCTCCTTATCCCTCACCTCCCCAACCCTCTCCTCCCCATCCCACATTTCCCCATCCCTCGTCTCCCCGTCCCTCATGTCCCCATCCCTCATCTTACCATCCCTCATCTCCCCATCCCTCACCTCCCCATCCCTCACCTCCCCATCCCTCCTCTCCCCATGCCTCGCCTCCCCATCCCTCTTCTCCCAATCCCTCTCCTCCCCACCCCTCATCTCTTCATCCCCATTCTCCCCATCCCTCATCTCCCCACTCCATCCTTTGCCCATCTTCTCTCTATCTCTCTCCCCACTCCCGCAGCGCTATCTCTCGCAACCAGATCCCCCCCATCCCTCTCCCCCCTCACAAAACCTTTTTGGGCGCCTCATAGCTCATCACTCGCCCTTTCTCCATCCCCTATTCCCCCCTCTCCTCTCCCTCTCACACCCGCAGTGATCTATCTCACAACAAGGTCTCAGCCTTGCTGTACTCCTGAACTGCCTTGCCTTTGAGGCGACCAAAGATCGAAACGCTACACTCCCTTCTCGCCCCTCGCCCCCCTCTCTCCCCACGCCCGCAGTCTATGATGTCGGCAACCTGCTATCCGTTCCCCTCACCCACATCACCCCCCTGCCGCTCTCTGTCCCCCTCTTAACAACGATCCCACGGCTTAGCCAGATGACTGTACAACATGTTTTGATTTGAGATGTTCAGGGTGTCGTCTGGTGTGACTTATGAGTCAACTGTTGTCACTCTTGAGTGAACTGTGAAAGACTCTTGGATCGACCCTATAGTAAGGCCAGGCCACAGATGAACTAACCTGTGCACGTGACTGTTGCGTACGTGACTGTATCACATGTGATTGTATCATGGGTGTCGCACACATCTCAACCTGCCAGCTCACCCTGGCCGTATCAGAGTCTGGTGTGTTGTTAGAAGTCTCGTACTGTAACTGGCTGTTTTGGGTACGCACTAAATGTTCCCATGTGAACTACCATCCCAATCGCTAACTGGTGTGAGCATCAGTGCGTTCCTAGTCATCCTTCTCAATATATGTATTTGATATTTAGTGTGAAGAAATATTTCTTGAAGCTATCACATTCAAAGATGGGCATGGAGATAAGGCAATGTGTCGAGTCTCGAGCAGGGCCCTAGATATCTGTCAAAATAGTAGTGTGAACTTAGGAACCATGGCAGCTAGGGTTTTGGGTAGGAGAAGTGTTGAGAGAATTTTGCAAGCCAAAAAAGGGGTTCAATAATGAGAAAGGATACAAGGTTATAGGCAAGAAACAAATGGTGCACCACCAATAAGTTAACAATATAACTACACTGTTTAGACTACAAGCAGTTATAGTTCGACAGAAGTTTTACTCTGATTCACAGTTCGTTCAGGCTTTTTTTTGGTACCTAGTCTGAACTCAAAGTTTTTCTTTATGTACCTTGTCTGATTTTTCAGAGTTTTGTTTTATGACTTGGCTGAAATTTCAGCCTAATTTTATGAGTGTAGGCTGAGCCCTCAGCCGTGTATCAGGGGTGCACACTGAATCCAGCAATACGAGGATCTCCGCGAGCCTGTAGGATTCCAGGTGGACCAAGCGAATCTACTGGCCGCGACAGAGAGAATCTGCTGCGTAAGGGGGCGATTTGTCTCTGACAGGGCGAATCTGCTGTATTACGGGTGGTTTTGTTGCACCCACACAGAGCGAATCTGCTGTGTCAGGGCGGATTTCCCGTGACAGGGCGAATCTGCCTAGTCAGGGCGAATTTGTTGTGACACGGGCAATCTGCTGCGACTGGTCAAGTTTGAATCAATTGCATCTAGAACGTGAAAGCTAGATTTCACAGTACTCTCATTTGATTGGTGAGACATGCATTTGTAAAATATCTGATACAACAGGCACAGAAAAGCAAACACGACCGCTCTGCTGCAAGGGAGCCTTCAAGGGCTCTCGGAAGGAGGCTGTAGAGGTTGAGCGTGCTCCTGCAGAGGTTCAGACTCTGACTCAGATATGTGACATGTTTTATTGTGTTTTTTATGAAAATGCATGATCAGCTTAAAACCAGGGTACACATTCAACGCGACTCCAGGCTAAATTTTGGGCGGCATGTTTGCGGGAACTGCTGATTGGTTGACGAGTAGCGAATAAATAGTTGAGAATGGGCGAGCATGGGGCTTTTCGTCCGTGAGAGATGAGGCTTGGCAGGGGAGAAATTGATAACACTTGGATCTAGAAATTGGGGATCAAGGGGAGGGCAACTGGGTTAGCGGAAAGGGGAAAGGGGGTGAGACGATATTGTGGGGGAAGGGGAAACAATTTCGGTGGGAGCGGAATAGGTATGGGGAGGGGGGAAACGAATTGGCGGAAGCACATTCGATGACTTCGGTTTACATTTGCCAAATCTCGAGGGTTCAAATGTTCACCTGCTGAAGCGAACACTCCCCCCAGATATTCCTAAATCACTGAGTAACCCCGAGGTCAAAGGTTAACCTTTGACAGAAATCCAATTGAATATGCACCCTGGTTTTAAAGCTCAAGGCCCAAATTGTTCAGGATTACTAAAGTTGACCCTTGGGTGGTGGGAAAGCAGAGTAGGAAAGTCGAGGTGTTTGAGGGGTGTAGGGGTTTGGTTTCGCCCAGCTTCTCGCCACACTCAAAACAAAATTCGCTGACTCAGCAAAGCCTAGGGGACGCTCAGGTTTGGTTGCGCGAGTCCCATATTGCACAAATATTACTCTTGCCAGTTTCCCGCACCACCTGTTCCATTCGCTGACTCAAATGTTCTGGCCAATCAGATGGCTTCGTACATTTCGTAACCACAATTCGCCCAGCTAAAGCTGCAAAGCAGCACTCGATCAACCTTACTAAACTTGCCTCGCGCGGCCCGCAATTTGGGCCTTGAGCTTTAAGTTTCACCGCTAACGCCGAAAGTTCAGCCTAAAAAACTGTGAGTTGTCTGACTTTTCAGCCTAAAATTTTGGGGCCACGCTGAAAATTTACCTGAAAAACAGAGTTCTAACAGGGGTGCACGCTGATCGATCAGCGTGCCTCAAAACGAATCTAGGGGCCTGGTCTCGAGTATTAACACAAAGCAACAACCATTAATTACCTGGATAACCGGTCCACATTGGATTCGCGGCCTTCAGATCTTCCGCCCTCCCACACGCTCACCATCCCTCTTCACCCTCCCAAACCGTGCTTGCTCCTGTTGCAACAGTAATCTCAAATTCAACCTGCTCAGCTCGAGCCTGCCAAGCTCTATCTCTAAAGTCAAGAGGCAGACCGAGCTGTAAGTTGGTTATGGGTCTTTGGTGTGCTGTGCCAAGCTGGTAAACAGGTGGTAACCACGTAACCTGGTGTAACCACAATATGCTTGTCTTGGACTCAAGACTCACGAGGGTGACCGAGATGTACATACGTTGCCTTTGGATGTCGTGAACCTGGTAACCAGGTGGTTGCTAGTTCGGTAAGGTGCAGTGTGGTGGAAGTCAAGAGGTCATCTACATGGTAACCGGGTGGTAACTGTGAAGATGCCAAGGGGTCGTCTATCTCTGAATCCCCGCTCGTTAACGGAGCCATTGCACAGGCCTCCGAAATGATCTTTGCGGTTTCTTTGTTTGATGGAGGGAATAGAGTGGAGTTGAGATAGGTTGGGGAGAGATGTTGCGGGGAGGGGGGAATAAAGGGAAATGATGCGGTGAGAGTGAGAGGTTGCTACCATATCAGAGTAGAGGGAACTAGTCGTGAGTGTGTGAGTTGCTAGTGGGGGGAAATAGAGGGAACTAGTGCGGTAGAGGTGATAGTTTGCTAGCTGGGGGGAATAGACTACTAACTCACCATGTGCAAGTATCGTGTTTTTCATTGTGACGTCTCAGGTGCGTGGAGCCAATAAGGTCTGCATGGGGAGTGGGAACAACGGTGTGAGCGGAGACATGGAGAAACATCTGAATTCCATCATGAAAAAGCACCCCCAGAAGATGGTTAGCATAGGGACACACGCGACCCTACCTGTTGCAATCATGCGATGCGATCTGTCGAAGCTATTGGGGAGGGAGGCGTCGTTCAATGACTTAATGCACGTTCTCGTGACGTCCTCACCTGATGTCGTCAACAAGCTAATCAATGCAGCAACGGATTCATGTAAGCGCACGCCTATGGTACCGTTCAAAGCCGTCCCTCCAATCCTTGCAGCCGTAACCCTCCCTTCCCCAACCTCACATACACCACCACCAAACCAACCCTATAACTTGTGCTGCTTACATAGGTTGCTGATAGCGTTCATCAATCATCCATAATGATCATTTGATCTACTTTCGTTTTGCATGGTAGGTGAGAATGCAACGACGGCGAAGGACCAAGTCCAACTGCACCTAGATGCTCAGCGATCATGCTTTTCACTGAGCCAAGTGGGGGAGAGGACAGTCGTGCCGCACTTGCTCGAACGGACACCAATTTCTACAAGCCGCTACATGTACCAGTTCGACACATATCATCTGAACTCAAAGGGTGTGGTGGTTCCGGATAAGGGCCATGGTCATGGAGGGGACCGCCGTGGGGCGGCATATCGAGGTTTGCGGGATGGAGGTACGCACCACTGTACACACGAGTAACCACCGCGAACATCAATCCAACCGCACATCATAACAGAGTTTTTGTTACGTGCCATCATGTTGCCAGTCTTTCCCCAAAGATAAAGTCAGGTGGGATCACCACTATGCGTAACACACTCGCAAGTGTCATGATTTTGTGTATCCCTCACCCCACATTGTTACACCAGCAAACAACACCATGCATGTCAGGGGAGACGCTGCAGTGTATGAAGAAGGAGATTAACCAATTGGGGGTTCGGCAAATACGGGGGTTAATAACGAGGTCGTGGAGGCGCAAGAGGAAGATGAGACGGGACAGGGGGGAGAGGGAAGTGGAGGTGCTCTAAGGGTCGAACAGCAGACCATTGAGGGGGATAGGTTGTGTGAAGAAGGTGACCTCGACCAAGGCCGGATCCAAGAAGCAGCTCAAGAGGTTAGCCACTTGGTGGAGGAACGGAACGAGGTTGAAGGAGGGGAAGGAACTTCGGACGCGGGACCTTCTTGGGGGGATCAAACAAGGCCACCAGTGATTCCTGCGATCGTCCAAGCGCAGATTCACGAGTACGTAATCATGCTGTCATGTATTATATAGCTATTTTTGTGTGTGATTCACAGCATGAGCTTAAGATGCAACCTAATTCGGCCCCACCATACATCCCATTGTATCGCAATACCGTGCTGAAATGAAGAGGGGTGTGGAGAGGGGCACGGAGAAGGAGGAGGAGTAGAGGATGTTGCTCGGGTGCTGGACATCAAGTGGGTGGATATAGATACTCTTTTTGACTTCGATCCGCATCCTACGCATGCTGTACGGGAGAGCATTTGCAACGAATACATTCGGGAGTCGGCCGAGGGTCTTTCGTGCAGCGAGTTCCCCTCTGTTGACATTGTGGACACAGAGGAAATGCCGCTTGGTGAGTCTGTAATTTCTGAAATTCATTGCCTAATATGATTGCAAGTTTGTTGCGCATAACACCCTTTTCGAACCAATTGTTTGTCTTATTCAGGTGACGAGGACATCCGCGGAGAGATGGCCCCTAGGCCACATGGGAGTGAGCCTACAGAGACAGTTGTCATACAACAAGATGACTCAGAGGGGAACGCAATTGAGGGACGTGAAAAAAAATGGCAACAGAGAAGGGTTAAAAAACGGCCACGAGAGGAGGGTGGGTGCGACGAAGGGGATACAGGGAGGGGAGTGGAGGAGGTGTCGGTGGTTGAGCGTTTGGGCATTCACTTTCATCATGTCATGCTGCGTGCTGCAACTAAGGCTGAAGCAGGTCATCCAATGTCGCCACGTGAGGTTGCCGATGAGTTTGCCTTGTGTGCGGACCATTGGGCAGGCTTGCACGAGCGTTGTGAGAGGGATGGTGAGTGTCCACGCTGTGTGCGGGAACGATGGGGTGAGGAAAGTGCTTTGTATGAGCCCGGTTCAGAGACACATGTAGCCTTTAAGGAATGGCTTTCGAAGAACTGTGGCCCTGATCAAATGGCAGCATATGTACTGGGGGCTAGCAATTGGGTCAATGAATCGTTTCATTCATTGATCACGAAGTATGCGCCGAAACGCATAGCATTTCTTGGGAGTATGGAGCCACGAGTGGCGTTGACTGTGCTTCACTGGAACCACACGGTGGACCGGGTTGTGAAGGAGTGGCGCATTCGTGTACGCAAGGCAACTCGAGTGAGACGGGAAAAAAATGACAGGGTGCTTGGGGCAATGGATTGGAGTTGGGTGGATGCGGTGATGGACCGATGGTCCAAAATTCGAGAAGGGGAGGATGGAGTTGAAGGAGATTGTGGCGACGAGGAAGTGGAAGCGGAATTGAACATGGAGGAAGAAGAGGAGGTGGTGGAAGAGGACGACGAGGTGGTATTGGAGGAAGAGACGGTGTTGGAGGAGGAAGAGGAGGGGGTGGAGGAAGAGGAGGTGGTGGAGGAGGAAGAGGAGGTGGTGGCATTGGAAGAGGATGGGGTGTCGAACCAGGTGGTAAGGGAGGAGGTAGAGGAAGAGGATGAGGGGTTGGGAGTGGCAGTAGAAGGTGGGAGGGAGGAGGGACAAATCGCGGATGATTTGAGGAGCAAGCCTGCAAGAGTGGGGGTGCGGGGTGTAGAGGTGGAGTTGTTGGGAAGGGAGAGGGCTAGTGGTGCACGGTCTACAGGTGTTGTGCACATTTTGGACAGGGATGTGGGAGAGGGAGGGGCGTCATACTTTGATGGTGGACGGTCACCCATTGACTCGACATCTGTGCGAGAACCGTCCACCCCTAGACGGGAGGGATTGTGCGCAACTTCCATCTTTCCGTTTTCACCGGAGACTCCATCATCGGGGTCGTTTGTGTTTAGTAGTCCGGGCGGGGAGGCGAGTTCTGCCTCTTGGGCACGTAGACGGCGTCACACGGTGGACAGAGCGCCCCCGAGGAGGGTTCGGCGTCAATTACCTATCGGTTAGTGTTGTTTTGAAGGGTAAAGTTGGCGGATTTTTTTAACCAAGTTTTGTAACCCGCATTCGAGTTGGCATGTCGTGAATCTGCCCCCCCTACAGATGACGCATCACGACTCGGACAAGGATGAGCGCTCGCGAGACACAGTTCGCGCCTCGTTCAAACGTCGTCGTAAAGTGCCCGTTCGGCAAGGAAAAACTTGCGTCCCCCTTATCGCAAGGTTGACATTGTGGATTCCACCTAAACGCTACACATCAACCCCCTTTCCTACAGTTACCGGGACTACACCCACGAGCTCGGTCCGTAACCTCTTTATTCACCAATGGCCCCAAAAACATATTCGCGGTATGTGGACACCATCATTGTCCCCTCCTCCCCGACCCATCCGTGCCCACCCTCTTGTCTTTGATGACATCTCGAACGTTATTCCTGCAGTTTCTATTCCCGTTCTCTTCCATTCCCTTCACTTTCGCCATCATCCATTGTTTCCCTTTTTACGCCATCTCCCACTTATTTTCGCTATCCTCCCATTACCTATCATTCCCATCTCCCCATCTCGTTTTGTTACATGTCTTCGATTCTCGCACCTTCCTCACGTGCGATATCATGGAACCCATGATGAGGTTTTTTAGATCCATGCCATCAACCGGATGAAGTGGATGAGTCGGAGGAGTGAGCCAAGAGGATTCATGTCTTTTGTTTTGCTAGAGTGGTAACGCCCGTAGAAGAGGGAGCCGTGGCATGGGAGATGGGACTTTGTAGAGTTGGATGATTACATGTTCCCTTCATCTGCTCACCTCTCCCCAACCCCTCACATGCTCCACTCATTCTTCTCCTGTCCTCGAGTGTCTCCCCACCATGTGCAACCTAACCCACTCACCGCCCCAACATCACACCATCCATTCTCCCACCTTCCTCTCTTTTGAAATCATGGATCACATTCCCTTATGTTCCATGTCTCACTATCATTTTCCAGGAGTGCTCAACAACGTGGACCGTGCTCGCCCTCATTCATGGGCAGGAATGCGTTTTCCGCCCCTTCCATTTTGGTACAACTATAGACCCAGCGACGGACACAAACATTCATTTGAAAGCGGAGTTAGGTTGCATCACCTAATACATTAGTAATGTTCCTCAGTACAACCACACACGCTTGTTATAACCAATCAACCAAAGATTAGAGGCACAATTATTAGAGCGAAGGTTTGGTGGTATACATGGAATGCCAAGTAAAGACCCTTATGAGTAATGGGGAAAACCGTGTTTGTATGTCGCACTAAACTACATCTATTATACATGCGAAACCCTTATAAATAAACCAAGTCCATGGTGGAAAGTGTTATCTATGTGGCTACTGTGACATGGCATCCCAAGAGGATGATCCAAAGTCAATCTCATCGGGGACTTCCCAACCATGGAGGAAGTATTCAATATCGTGCACGCAACACTTTAGGTACCCCTCATCTCCCTTCTCCGGATACAATGACCCGATAACCACTAAAACTATCCATGGTAGATTGACCCTGCCGTTTTCACGATCGCTCAAGAGGTCCGAGAAGTCAAGGTAACAACTGAACCTATGGTGTTTTGGCTCCATTGTCGTCCCATCACAGGATTCACTCGTGTTTGCACCACAACAAACACGAACCACGGCTTCAACCGTCTGCCCCGCTGTACTCAGCTGCTCCTGGCTGTCAAATGGAAGAACCCTGACAGGTGGCTTTCGGGTTGGTTGGTGCATGCGATGAATGCATTGTGAAAGTCGGATGCTGGGTGGAGAGGGCTGGCTCGTGTTCACACGAGTCTTGCTCGAAATGGCGCTGATTGCACCTCCTTCGTCAACCACCACACCAGCCTCATCCACTTCAAACAGCTCATTCACTCTACCCAGAAGCCCACGCCGATGCTTCAACAGAAGATGCTCACTGCAGGATGGGACACAACAAGGCACCATGGTTAGACACACTCAAAACACAATGACAAGGGGTATGTGAGTGTGCAACCCACCTGGGAGTGAGACGTCGCCGGAGTGGGCGATGGATTGTGGGACGTACAATGATGCCATGGTGTGGGGATGAGAGGCAACGCACACCTGCGGATGGGTGTGGTGGAGGGATACAGGGGGGATAAGGCCATGCTCTTATGTGGCTATGGGATCGGGAAGGTGGGAAAGGTGAGTGCGAATATGTTGCTGTCGGGTTGATGCCGTGGGAAAGGGGTGTGCGGGAGATGGGGAAGGGAAGTGCCGGCGAGGGGGTGCTAGCGACGGGGATAGGGAGAGCTGGCGATGGGGCTGGGATAGCAAGCTGCGATACTTCACCTTCTATGACGACTGCGCACACGCTTTCGATACGCAAAAGTGGCGTGCAAGCAAAGGGGATGGGGAGCAATAGCAAGGGGGAACGAGCACGCTAGCGAGGGTGACTGTGAAGGGTGTCGATAGCGTTACGAAGGGAGAGTGATTTTGATGGGGAAGGAGAGCGACAGAGATGGGAAAGGGGAGTGCTTGCAACGAGGAAGGGGAGTGCTAGCGGTGGGGAAGGGGAGTGCAAGCGACGGGGAAAGGGAGAGTTAGAGACTGAATTAGGGGAGCACTAAAGACGCGGACCACAAGATGTAGGTTGGGGGAGAAAGGTCGTTCAGGCAACTGTGAATGGGAGAGATAGCAAAGGGGAACGGGAGTGCGAGCGACGGGGAAGGGGAGAGCCAGTGATGGGGAAGGGAAGCGATAGGTGGATGTAGGTTCGGGGGGAAAAGTCGTTCAAGCGACTGAGAAAGGGAGAGATAGCAAAGGGGAACGGGAGAGCGAGCGAAGGGGAAGGGGAGCGCCAGTGATGGGGAAGGGAAGCGATAGGTGGACGTAGGTTGGAGGGTTCGCTCGTTCAAGCGACTGTGAGAGGGAGAGATAGCAAAGGGGAATGGGAGTGCGAGCGAAGGGGAAGGGGAGAGCCAGTGAGGGAGAAGGGGATAGAAGGCGACGAGGAAGGGGGGTGACAGTGACGGGGGAAGTGGAGGGAGCGCATGGGGGGGGAACAAGCACGCTAGCGAGGGGAAGGGGAGAGAACGCGACGAGGAAGGGGAGTGATAGTGACGGGGGAAATGGAGGGAGCGCATGGGGGGGGAACGAGCACGCTAGCCAGGGGAAGGGGATAGAACGCGACGAGGAAGGGGAGTGACAGTGACGGGGGAAGTGGAGGGAGCGCATGGGAGGGGAAAGTGCACGCGCGCGAGGGGGAAGGGGAGAGAACATGACGAGGAAGGGGAGTGATGGTGACGGGGGAAGTGGAGGGAGCGCATGGGGGGGGGAACGAGCATGCTAGCGAGGGGGAAGGGGAGAGAACACGACGAGGAAGGGGAGTGATAGTGAAGGGGGAAGTGGAGGGAGCGCATGGGGGGGGAACGAGCACGCTAGCGAGGGGGAAGGGGAGAGAACGTGACGAGGAAGGGGAGTGACAGTGGCGGGGGAAGTGGAGGGAGCGCATGGGGGGGGAACGAGCACGCTAGCAAGGGGAAGGGGATAGAACGCGACGAGGAAGGGGAGTGACATTGACGGGGGAAGTGGAGGGAGTGGCTCGCGTGGGGGATGGGGCGGGCGCGCATGGGTATTACCCGGGCATGTTAGCGAGGGGGTAGGGGAGGGTGCGCGACGGGAAGGGGGTTCATTGCGTGGGCTAATGGGTGCATCGACTGTGTGGTAGCTCGGAGGGCAACGGTGTGGAAGCGCAGGGTCCATTATCGGGAGTACGATGATGACGATCGTGGGAAGGGTTATGCTATACTGTGGTGGCCAATGCGCGGGACTCAATGGGTGGCGGGTCTGTTACTGTGAGCGATTCGCGCGAATTGCTTTACTCACGTGCGGTTTCCGCGGAGCCTCGATCCGCAACGGCGTCGGAATTTGTGTTGTGTTTACGTCGTGCAGGTCTGTCGCAGGGAGTGCCAAACCTGACGAACCTGTTATTCAAAAGTTTGGGTGTGTCATCAGGTTAGGGCGGTAGGTTTGGTGTTGAGGGTACAGTGTTCAGGTTTTGCTCAAATCACCCCTCCTCTCGTGCAGAATTTCGTTACTCGTCCACCAATCCCAGGTTTCCACTCCAGTTCAAGTGTAATACGGTTGTAAATTTGAGACGCGGGTGGGCGTTGCTCAATGCTTGATGATGTCATGTAACTGCATCTTACCCAGAGTAGCCCGAGGGCTCGATCCCCCTCCCTTCCCCCTCTGCCTTTTCTCCCTCTCCCCTTCCATGGCCCCCCCTCGCCCACCCGCATATTTCCTTCGGCATTTGGTCCCGTACCCCCCAATATCTTTTTATCTCCCACCATTACAATTTCGCGTCAACAGCTCCATTCTCACTCGTCCTTTTGTCGTTGTCCCTTCAGCAATTAACTGTAAAAGTGTTGTTCTCGTCTCTTGTCCCCCCCGCCATGTTATTACCCATGTGCTCCTACCAGACAACCTCTCAATACTCTTCCTCACATCCCCCCTCACTTCTCTTTAACCTTCATCATCCCCATCCTCCCTCAAGCGTCTTCCATCATCCATCATCTGTTTTTTTCACTCAACCCCCCTCCCTCATCCGTCCTCTCTCACTCACCCTACCCTATCCTCACATGCAGGCTGATGCGGCTGAGGAAGCTGCCAGAGAAACAGTATAGACACCTGTATGATGAAGAGGAACAGGGTTTACAATACAAGAGCTTGTGCTAATGCGATGTTGTGCAAACATGACAAGGTCCTACTGTCGTACTCCGAAACACCTTTCTCATTTTTTGAATCCAGTCTCACCATCGTCAATGTTGAGGAAAGAGAAGGAAAACCATTTGTAGTTATCACAGCTCAAGTTTTTATCCTTGTGCAGCAGCCATAGTCCATCTGCCCATTTTACCCCATTCCCCTCTACCTGCCACCCTAGCGCTCTAGTCCAGGGCCCTCGTTATCAGACTATTTTAGTATGTTGGTCTAGATTTCATACTCAAAATTTATACGGTAGTTCATATGTTTTGGCAGACAAATGCTTAAGGCTCATATGAGAGGCCAGACAAATGGTTTAGCGTCATACCGTATGTTTTTTCAGAAAAATTATAAGTGTTCGCCATCGCATATGGTTTCGTCTGAAAGTGCCAAAATGGCCCAGTTGGCCATAGGAGCAGTAGTCTTTTGTCTGTACAGGCACGCGTAATAAATTTTTGAGGGCACAGCGGTTACTTTTGGATTATCCTGCCAGCGCATGCTGCATCTGACTCAGGTGATGCCACGCATCTGTCTTGTAGCTGTTGTCGGCGCCGCTGCCAGGCTGTTGCCTCCCCCTCACTGGCAGGGTGCAAGGACAGTCGGTGCACAACAAACAAGGCATGCACCCACCCACGCGTGAAACCCTCGTTCACACAGCGCGGTTCGTCGTGATGGTCCCTCCCTGCCTCTCTCATGTCGTCGTCTCTTCCAATCCGATGTTTCACAACCTTCTTCGGCCTTTCAGTCACGCACGCTAAGCCCGTCTCTCACCTCTTCCCACTAGCTTGTTCCCGTCACTGCGCCGTGGTGTTACTGCCTCTTGAAATACAGCATGCGATTTCAGCATGGAACCTATGGTGTCAACAGACGGCGCTAGGCCTGTTGCTCCCGAGGTACATGAGGAGCCTCGGGTTTCTGCTTTAGATTTTTTGACCCGTAATACTCCCGCCGCGATACCTATGCCCGCCACTGCCGCAGCAGAGAGCCCTCCGCGGGACATCCCACCCCCAAACGTCATAACATCCTGCGACAACGAGCTGCGTATCCCCTCATCATCCACGTCAGAGGCGGCTGAAACTTCGATCCAGCCAGACATGGCTGGAGTGTCTTCACCGCCACCCGTTTCATCATCAGTTGCTACGACTCTACATGCCATTTCTATTTCGCGTATTAGAGACGGGATAGGCAAATACAAACAGCGCATCTTGAGGTTTGCCCGTACCACTCCTGGTGTCCCCCCCCCCCAACTGTCCCCCTCTTTAGCACACCCCGTCCAGGCCCATCAACCGTTGAGCAGTGTGATGCTGCTTCCCTACAGGCAGTCCTCCTCACCCACCTTGAGTCTACCGGGATCGACCTTGAGCGCATCTGTGGCATCAGCACCGACGACGCAAACGTCATGGTCGGTTCTCAACTGGGCATGGTGGCACGGCTTCGAACACGCATCCCACACCTCGCCGGATTCCACTGCATCGCGCACAGGTTAGTACTAAACCGTGCAGTCCGGTTTTTTTCTTTCTTTTTTAATACATACATTTGTCTTTGGGGATTTGTTTTCGGGAATGTTGCAGGGAAGCGTTGGCCGCTAAGGACGCAGCACTAGCCTACCCTGACGTTGACATCGTCGACCATGTCATCCGCTCTTTAGCAGAGCTTCTCGAGTGGTCGATCAACGTGCACTCGGGTTTTAAAGAGCTGCAGGAGGTGCTCTGCGAGACCAATCTGGAATTGCAGGGCATCCACAACATCCGGTGGCTTTCCCGCGGACAAGCAGTTCAGCGACTGGCCGACGTCCTTCCCGCGGCTGTAATCCTGTTGTACGAGAACGACGAAGAGTCGTACAACCTGGTAACCAGCTTTAAGTTCCATTTTCTTATTTTTTACTTGGCTGATGTGTTGAAGGAGCTCAACGAGCTCAACCTCAAGTTCCAACGATGTCAGGTAAGAGTTATGCCACGTGTTTATGCTGTTCATTGTGTATACCCCTAAACCTTGTACTAACGTGTTCTACAAGTGTGCCTATCCATACCCTTAACCCGTGTCTGTGGCAGGTCGATGTGACACACGTGCTGCAGATGGTGGACAACACGTGACTCACCCTCCGCAACCGTTACCTCAGCGACGCGGACGACTTCGGTGAATGGAGCAACGAGCTGAGCACCTTTCTAGCGAAGCATGGCAAGTCGGAGGTGAGGAAGGTGACGGTGACGGGCACCGACTCAGACGGGGCGCCGACAACTCACGTGTACACACTGCACGAACATGAAATCGCGAAGCAGAAGTCGGGCGGGAGCGTGGACGAATGCATCAAGCTTGCAAATGCGTACATGAAGGAGCTGCTGCGGCGTTTGGAGGGCCGCATGAAGGATCTTGACACGCTCGACGACGCCAAGCTTTTCATGCAGGAAGCATACCCCAAAGCGCTTTCGAAGCGCCAACGTAGGTTTTTGCAGTGGCTGCAGGCTCTCCGCAACTTGTTTAAGCGCAAACCCGAAGAACCGGACACCCTGCTCGGTACGTCTTCACTGTCATCTGTACGTGATTGTGTTGCCGCTGCCTTATATTTCCTGCTTTGATAAAACACTATACTGGCAGTGTTGACTCTTTATTGTCGAGATCAAATACTTCTCCTTATGTTTCTCTGTCCCTGTTATACACCCCGCTCCCAGGGATCAACTGGATGAGGGCGCAGAGGAGCTGAGCAGCTTCACCACGATAGTGTCAACACACCACCAGGAGCTGAGCTTTCAAGACGGGCTGAAGCAGATGCTTGCCATGCCCGACTGGTGCACGGCCTACCCCAACTTGGTCCGCCTGTGGATGGCGGTCGCAGTTCTGCCCCTGAGCACCGTGGAGTGCGAGCGGGGATTTTCCCGCCATAACGTCATCAAGAGCTGGCTGCGGGGGAATATGAACGACGCCAAGCTTGGGGAGCTGATGGCAATCTCCATGCTGAAGTACAAACCTGACTGGCCCGCGATTGTCGCGCTGTGGAGGGGTGTGAAGAAGAGGCGTCCCGCGAAGGAGGTGTTGATGGTGCATGCGCAGAGGCCGGTGAAACGGTCGAAGAAGACCCTAGCGATGCTGGCTGCAAAAGAAGCGGCAGCAGCAGCAGCAGCAGCAGCAGCAGCAGCAGCAGCAACAGCAGCAGCAGCAGAAGCAGAGGCAGCCGCTCGTGAAGCTGCAGCTGCAGAAGAAGCAACCAGGCTAGAAGAGGAGTTGGGCCCCTGGCAGAGAAGGTCTGACCGTGGCAAGGATATGGATTTTGAACCAGAAAGAGACGACGAGGAGGAGTTTTCTTATGGTAGTGATAGTGAGTGAGTGAATGTGGACGAATGTATTCGCTGATGACAAAACCAGTCATTTGTAGACTATAGTTATATAAAAATCTCTAATCTGATAAGTGTAACTTTCGTCTGCACTCTCAGATGAAGCTTAAATTTCTGTCTGACATTAAGACCACCACGAAAATTTCGTATGAGCGTCAGACGATTTTTTCTTTCCGATTCCCGTCAGCCGGGCCTAGAAGTTAGCAAGAGCCCTTCTCCAATCCACCCACTTACCCGGGTTGGGTCGTCCTGCCCTGCCCCACAGCATCCCTTGCTCCGGTCCCTGGTGTGGTGTGCCTTGTGCGACGCCACATGGTGCTTCAACTCCACCACCATAGCTTGTGACGCCACATGCTTGGTTGCTGGAAAGGCAACAACACAGCTTCACCGTATGGCTTGGTGGAATCCTGAGTGACCACTTATGCTTCTGGTGGCTGATTGTAGTGGCGGGGAGGAAGGGGGTGGGGCGAAAGGGAAGTTCAAGGCAGAAACAGAGGGATACATGGTCTGTATGGTCTGCATGCGTCTCTCTATTGTTAGTGGCGTAGGAGACATACCATATGTCAGTTGGTTCGTGCCATACAAAAAACGTTTGCTCAAACGAGTGCATTTTACTGTGCATTTCGCCACACCACCGAGGCTCCACTACCACTCCTTGCTTACACGCTATTGAAGCCTCGTCATTCAACATGGTAGCCACTAATAAAATTCAATACTTTATCCCCTACTTGAAACACCAACATTGTTCAAATGGGTTGTTGCATGTTACAGATGGCTTACATGAGGGGAAATGTGTTTTGAAACTTAGGGCGCGGTGCATTTAGCGCAAATCCCAAAGTTCGGTTTAAAAGGTCGAATTTGCCCTTTGGGATACATGCCATGCATTGCATTCTGCTGTGGCTCGCACGCACCCAGCTGACGACCGCCACGTCATTGCCACCCTGCTCAACTGGTGGGTGGGTGGGTGTAGGCTTGGGCACCAAGACGAACACCTTCGAGGCGACCGAACATGTTTTTTTTTTTTTTTTTTGTTTTTTTCCTAAATTGTTCATGGCGAACACGTTCGTGTTCGCCCGAACATGTTCGTGTTCGGTTCGTCGCGGCAGGCTGAGCCGCGTCGAACACAAACATGTTCGTTTTCGTTTTCCAGCAGCGACAAACACGAATGTGTTCGTCACGAATATCCTCTTATCGAAGGCGCCAAGGGCCGTTTTTGCCGTCAGATCTGCGCGGATATGGCATTCCGCCGTCAGATGTGCACGGATCTGGCATTTCGCTATCAGATCTGAGGGTGGGAACGGGTGCCAAGATTTGAGTTTTACTAGAGACCATTGTCAATGATAACCTGTTTAATTTCCACACGGGAATGCTGTGGGGCTAAAACGAAATGAGCCTAAAAAACGAACACGAACATGTTCACCCCAAACATGCTCGTGTTCGGGCCAAACACCTTGGTGTTCGCCTTCACAGGCGAACACCGAACACTCTTTTTTGTTGGAGGTGTTTGGCCGAACACGAACATGTTCGTGTTCTCCCTTTGCTCAACCCTAGGTGGGTGGGTGATTGACGCACAGTCTCCAATCCTGCCCAACCGACGAGTGAGAGGCATGGCATACCATGGCGTTCTGCTGTGGGACACACTCACCACCCCGCTGACGACCGCCACGTCATTACCAACCTGCTCAACCTGTGGGCAGGCGGGTGGGTGGGTGGGTGGTGTGGGTGGGTGCGTGGGTGGTGTAGGTGGGTGGGTGGGTATGCCACGCAAGTGCACTCTTCGCGTCCAAATGAAAGGATGGCGCCACGTCATGGTTGGAAGAAAAGCTCAGTTCCCCATTCCCATTGTCTCGTGTAATCACAATACCTCTCACCCCGTATGTCATGCATGCATGCACCCTCTCCGCCCCACACTCCTCATTCGCCTCCGCACAGGGCGCGCAGCAGGGGGAGGCAGCGACATGCGTCTACCCCTCAGCGTGGTGTGCCAACGATCACCAAACCTTGCCCTCACCAGTTGTGCATACACCAGCAGGGTGGGGCCAGCTCTCACCTTGCTCTCCCTCCCCAGTTGTGCCATTCAATGCATACATACCACGCGTTTGACCCCCACTCCTCCTTACTCGTGACCCCACAGGCCGCACAACTGGGCGAAGGCAACGGCATGGTTCCAACTCTTCAGTCGAGTGCAATCACTCCCCTCTCCCACCCCTTTCATGTCCTCACAGGGCACGCAGCAGAGCAGAGGCAATAACACGGTTCTACCCCGGCAACAGCACCATGGCTGAGCTGTCTCTGCTGCTCAAGAACGAGGTCGGGGTGAGGTGGTGGGTGGGAGCGGCATGGCAGCAAGGCAGCATGGCAGCATGGCAGCGAGGCAGCATGGCAGCATGGCAGCATGGCAGCGAGGCAGCATGGCAGCATGGCAGCATGGGAGCATGGCAGCGAGGCAGCATGGCAACATGGAAGCATGGCAGCATGGCAGCATGGTAGCATGGCAGCAAGGCAGCATGGCAGCATGGCAACATGGCAGCATGGGAGCATGGAAGCATGGCAGCATGGCAGCATGGCAGCGAGGCTGCATGGCAGCATGGCAGCATGGGAGCATGGCAGCGAGGCAGCATGGCAACATGGAAGCATGGCAGCATGGCAGCATGGGAGCATGGCAGCGAGGCAGCATGGCAGCATGGCAACATGGCAGCATGGGAGCATGGCAGCATGGCAGCATGGCAGCATGACAGCATGGCAGCATGGCAGCGAGGTTGCATGGCAGCATGGCAACATGGCAGCATGGGAGCATGGCAGCATGGCAGCATGGCAGCATGGCAGCATGGCAGCATTGCAGCATGGCAGCATGGCAGGGGGGGGGTGGGGGGTGTGACCAAGGGGTGGACACCCGGAACCTACCCCATTCTCCTTTCTCCTGTCCCACTTCTCAATTCTCGTCTTCTCTTCCACAGCAGCCTGTTCTGAACGGCTTTGATATCTTCTTCTACCTGCCTCGGTCTCTCTCTCACACCTTCGCCTCCCGGAGTCTCTCACTTACACCTTTCTCACCTACCCTTCCTCACTCTCCTTGCCATGCCTCTCTGTCAACATTTAAAGTCAGTTCAACTGGTGCAGCAATGAGTCCATGTCGTGATGTTTTTCACTTCCTTCACCCCATCTTCCACACTCTGCCTGGCCACTCCGTACCCATCTTACCCTTCTCCTCCTCTCCTTCCCGCCGCTCTTCTCCTCCCCCCTCCCAGCCGTTCTGCAACTTTCTGGTGCAAGAGACGCTGATGAGCCTGTGCTTGGCGTTTAAGTAAAAGGAGACATTGTAGAGTCGAACCCCAATCTCCCTCCCCTCTATCTTCCTCCCCTCTCCCTTTCCCTCTCCGTCCTTCCGCAACCGTCTGATGCAGGAGACGCTGATGAACCTGTGCTACGCCGCAAAGCGTGGCGACATGCTGGAGTGCTTTTGCCTCGCTGGTGGCGTGGCCGCTGCTGACTACAATGGTTGCACACCCATGGTGAGATGAGATTATTGCAGGGAGGGAGTTTGTTTCGTTAGCTAACTAACCAGGGTGTGCCCCCAACGAGCTGGGCTGAGTCACTCAGCCTGAGCTGAGTGAGATGGCTGGCAGGACGCCCATGGCTGGCAGGGAAGGACGCCCATGGTAGTGCACCTTTGACCTCCTTCCTACTGCACAATGATTGGCTGATCTCTATGGAAACACTCTGATAATATTCGTCCCCATCATGTTCCATCCCCCACCTTCTCCCGTGTCACCTCTTCTTTGTCCCCCCTACTCCCCTCCTCGCCTCTACCCCTCGTCCCATGCAAGCTGCGGCTACAGGGCAGAACTGTTGGTGCAATTTCCCATTCCCCTCGTCTTTGTGAGCGATTTTTATAGAATTCTAAAAAATCGCGCCCCTTGTATATATCCCCTTTAGTCCCCTCCTCGCATCTCTTGCACTCCCCTCATGCCCCCCAGCATCTATCAGCAGTGACAGGGCAGGACAAGGTGGTGCAGAACCTCCATTCTCCACACCATGTCCTCCCCACTACCCCTTTCTCCCACTGCGCCATCTCCCCTTTATCCCTCCATGCAACCAGCACCTAGCAGCAGTGACAGGGCAGGACAAGGTGGTGCAGTTCCTGCTGGCGCACGGCGCGCAGGTGAATGCCAAGGACGCCTTCTGGCGCACGCCCCTGCAGGAGGCCGTTGCTGCCGGCCACTGGAGCACCGCTGAGATCCTCCGCAGGTCAGTGTGCCGCCCACCGCCCACCGCTCTCTGCCACTGCTCTTTCACTGCTCTGCCACTGCTCTTTCACTGCTCTGCCACTGCTTTGCAACTGCTCTGCCAGACCCCTCGGAAGGCAGGAATTCAGCACGCCCTGGCACCTGCTCTTTTCTGCGGTGCCATGTGTAGTGCCCCCTTTGCTCCTCGTGTCACATGTGTCGGCCTTGCTCCTCAGGTGCTGGCACTCCTTCACTTCTCTGTTCCCTTCTCTTGCACTCCCCTACTCCTCCCCCTCTTATCTTCCGCTACTCCCCTTCTTTCTCCAACTGCCGCCTTCCTCCGTCCTTCCGCACCGCCATCCCTCCCACCTCTCCCCTCAGTCATCAGGGAATGACCCAGCCGCGCAAACACCGGAAGCACACGTGCCACCTCGCCTGCTCCACCACCAGAACAACCACCCGGCACACCTTTCGCCCCCCCTCTCTTCCCCCCTTCCAGTCCTGCAGGTGAGCCCCATCCGTACAATCATGCGCACATGTAAGACACTCGCTTATGAACACTTATCGGTCCCTTGCAGGGGAAGGCGTGTCAAGGCCCGCCAACTCCCACTAGCTTCCCGCTTCACACTCCTTTCACTCCACTCGCACTTCCCCTCTCCTCTCCCCCTCTTCTTCTCTCCTCTCCCCCTATCTTGTCCCCTCTCTCTTCTCCCAGTATCCACTCCCCCTCTCTTCTCCCCTTCTCCCCTGCCCCCATTCAGTCTCCCCCTCCAAGCGTCACATGTGAGCTCCACCATGCAACCAGAGAAGAGCTTGTGTGCACTTCCCAGCCCAGCCAGCTCAATCTGGGGCGTCCCAGACGTAGTGCTGCGTGTCCAGCTCCTCCCACCAGGGCACGCACCTGTGCCACCTTGCCCAACTCGCACCTGCTGGCCCATTCGTCAATGCCCGCACACCACATTCACACTCATCCCCACCTCCATGCTCCTCCCTCTCTCCCACGGCTCTCCCCACGTCCCTTATCCCCTCTCCCCCTCCCCCAACACACGTGCCACCTCGCTTGCTCCACCACCACCGCAACCCACCGGCACGGATTTCACTCCCCCTCCCTCCCACCCTTTCAGTCGTGCAGGTGAGCCCCATCCAATGCACTCAAGACTCTTGCTTGTCGAAGCCAATCAGTTTCTTGCGGTGTAAGGGATGTCAAGGCCTGCCAACTCCCACGAGCTGCCCCAGACGTTCGAGCTGCTTCACACTCCTTTCCCTCCAGTCGCCCTCTCCCCTCTCTTCTCCCCCCCTTCCCCCGTCCAGTCCTCCCACACCAAGCGTCACACGTGAGCTCCACAATGCAACCACAGAAAGGCCCTTCATTGCTTTTCTGCACCTCCCAGTGCAGCCAGCTCCTTCTCAGGCTTGCGAGAAGATGTGCCGCCATCCCACCACCACTCGCCCACTCCTCCACTCCCTTGTTCCCCCATCTCCTTCTCTCCCTTTCCCGCTCTTGTAACCCCCCTCTCTCCTCGTACAGCAATGGCGGTGAGCTGCATTTGCACAACCAAGGCACCCATTTGTATCTCCTCGCCAGCTCGTCCAACTCGCACCAGCTGTCCCATTTTCCACTGCTCGCATATCACATCCCAGCTCATCTCCACCCTATTCTCCTTACCCCGCCCGTCCCACCCCTTCTCCCCCTCTCCATCTCTCTTCCTCTCCCATTGTCCCCTTCTCCCCGCCCCCCCTCCTCTCCCTCTCCCCCTACAGCAACGGAGGCGAGCTGCACCTGCGCAACCAGAGCACGCACCTGTGCCGCCTCGCCAGCTCGTCCAACTCGCACCAGCTGGCGCGGCTGCTGGAGTTCGGCGCCGACCCCAACTCCGCTGACTACAACGGCCGCACGCGCTGCACGTGGCTGCTGTTGGTACAACCCCATGGTTTGCACTCGGCTTGTTGTCCGTGTGCGTGCATACGTGTGTGCATGGAATGGTATGAGGGCATGAGATAATCTAGATTTCATGCTAATATTAGTGTATGAATGATGAGTCATGCTGTCGAATGTGTGTGTCGAGTCAATAGCGAGTTATCACTATTCGCGTGTCACGTCGTCGTTTGTGTGTCGTACGCGTTTTCTACTTTGTTGTGTGTGGAACGTTCGGCGTGTCGCAGGTGCGTGCAGCAGACTTTCAAGAACCCAATGATGAGTTTATGGTGAAGAACCAGAGCCTTGGTTTCAAGACTCGAGTGATTTCGAAGCTCGCAAAAAAGGGTAAACTTCAAGATAATGAGATTAGTTACATTACAATGTGTAGTGTAACATTTCTCTTAGTGTAGGCCCTTGTGGAGGGTAGTTTAGAGGCCCCTTTGTGGTTGGGGACAGTGTGGCACTGTTCCACATCACTGTACCTCGGGCCTTGGGGTTTCTAGAGGCTGGTAGTCATTCCCAACTCGTACCTCTTCCTAATTTGTGTTCTAAGACTATAGTGGCTGCCATAGTGCCGTACGTTGCGTCTTCAATGCTTGATGAAATCGTGCGATATAATTTTCCTATTGTTGGCGACATTAAGACGCTCCAAATCTATTTTATAGCAAGTCATTTCGAGCTGTGAATAGAACGCTATCAACATTTGAAGCCGCTGTGCAGAAATCCGACTGTGCACTGTATCTTACATTTTAGGCACATTCAAGCCTATTGTGACTATAACAAGTGGTATCAGAGCCCCTTGGAGCAGTTTCGACAATGGATGGACCTGAGGAAAGAGGTGGCAGAGGTGCTGGTGGCAAGGAAAAAGCCCAAGCTCAAGGCCAACCCCGTGATTCAAGTCGTGGCCCATCTAGGGATGAGCCTAGAGTGCTTGGCCTTGACAAGTTCAACGGTGACAAGTTCGCTGAGTGGTCCTTCAAGATGGAGAATATATTCGACCATTATGACCTGCTGGAGGTGATGGAGGGAACGGAGAAGCGCCCCGAGAACGACCCGGAGAAGAGCCCGTGGGTGCGGAAGAGCGCTCAAGGCTATCTCCTACTTGGGCAAGCGTTGGGGAGCAGCCAAATCTGTCACATCAAGCCATTCCAGCGTGAACCAGAGAAGGGACCAAAGGCATGGGCGGCTCTCAAGGGTGTACATGCTCCTGCAACAGCGGCGGTAGCGGTGGTATTGGAACGGCAAATGGCGGCACTACGACTTGAAGAAGACGAAGCGATTGAAGAAGGGGTGCAGAAATTCTTAGACTTGTTGACGCGGCTTGAAGGAGCTGATTTGAATTATAGTGAGCTCCAAAAGAAGACCAAGCTACTAGCCTTACTCCCGGAGTCATGGTCCTCGCTCATCATTAACTTGAATCGTGACTTGCCCCGACTCTCGCTCGAAGACGTGAAGCGAGCAATCCTTCAAGAAGACTTCCGCCGTCGTGAGTTGGCGGGTCCGGATGGTGCCGGGGCAGCAACCATCGGCCGGGGATATGGCCGTGGAAGGGGCAGAGGACGAGGAGGAGGAAGGTTTGGAGGCAGCAACTTTAACGGAGGCCGTGGGAGTGGCGGATACATCAGCGACAACAAGAGCTACGTACGCTGTCGCGGCCGATTCGACGGTGAATGTCACTTTTGCCACAAGAGCGGACACATGTGGCGCGATTGCTACAAACTCCCTGATGGATGGACTCATGCGGGTTGAGGATCAGGGGGAGGGAGAGGAAGAGGCCGTGGAGGCCGTGGCGGTCGCGGAGGTGGTGCTGCAAATATGAAGAGTGGAGACAACGAGAGCGAGTCGAGCGATGATCGCTTCCCGGGCCAATTCCTCTTTGTGTCAACGCAAGCACCGGCTGAACCAGAGAATGTGGAAGGCTTTGAGGAGCCAGATGCTGTGGGAATAGTCACCCTACACTCCCTGGACTATTGGGTGATTGATAGTGGCGCTACCTATAGCATGACGCATCGCGCGGACTTGCTCACCGAACTTGAACCGTCACCGGTGAAGCATGTCACAACAGCTTTGGGGCAGCGAGCAGAGGTAAAAGGCATGGGCAAGGCCATGTTCAAGGGTGCTGATGGGAAGATGGTGGGCCTCAAGAACGTGCTTTGGGTGCCCAACCTTGCACCCAACCTGATTTCCGTGCGGCGGTTGCAAAAGGCCGGCATGGACACGAGCTCGAAGTGAGCCAAGACCTACACCGCAAGGCTTGGCGAGCGGATTCTTTGGGACCTTCATGAGAACAAGGATGTATAGAATTATATGCGGCAGATCCCTGTGGTCCCAATGCCTAAGGAGAGGCAAGTGGCAGCAAGCATCAGCACCAAGAGTGAAGCGGTTGTTAGCGGCGAGTCCAATAATTGCAATCTTGGAGGAATCAGCAAGTTGTGTGATCATAAGGAGAGTGGTGAAGCAGCCAAGGAGCAGAAAAAGGGTGAGGAGAACCCAAAGGCAGCAGCGGAGGAGGAGTACGGAGAGAGCATGTGGGGCACTATTGCAAGTGCAGCATTCTCCAATCCGACTTCAGCTACGGGGGAGTGTGATTGGTTGACTTTGCATCGGGGCATGTGGCACTTCCCATCTTGCAACAGCTAGTGAAGAGTGAGATGGTTGCTGGCATACGTGTGAATGGGGAGCCCAATGAGGTACTTGGCTGTCTGACGTGCATGCAAGCCAAGTTTCCCCCGATTTCGTTTCTCTAGTTCGAAGGCAACGGCTAAGGCACAGCTTGATGAGGTGGTGATGGACGTGGTGGGCCTCTTGAATCTTGGAGCTGCCGGAGCAGAGTATTTTCTCACCATAGTCGACGTATACACCCGCATGAACTCCGTGTACGTGCTGTTCAAGAAGAGCGACGTGGCTGAAACGGTGAAGACCGATTGGTTGCTGATGGTGGAGCGGCAACAAGACCGTCTTGTGAAATCAATCCGCACCGATCGAGGGGGAGAGTTCCTGAGCAAGGAGTTCTCATTGTGGCTGAAGAAGAATGGCATAAGGCACTCCCTTACTATGCCATACTCCCCTGCAATGAACGGGATCGCCGAGCGAGCGAACCGGACAATCACGGAGACGGCACGCGGGTTGCTCATTTAAGCCGGGCTACCCAACTATTATTGGCCAGATGCGGTGCGGAGTACGTGTGTGGCTAAGAACAGAGTCTTGACTCATGTGGGAGCAGACAAATGGGTGCCCTATGTGGAGTGGATTGGAAGGAAGCCAAAGGTGGATATGCTTCGGGTGTTTGGGTACATGTGCATGGCGCTCGTGCCTAAGCATCTTCGGCACAACAAGCTTGGTGCCAAGGCGATATGGGCGGTGCACTTGGGCATGGCTCAAAGAAGCAAGGGATGGCTTCTTTGGGACCCATTCACCAAGAAGTTCTTGGTGAGCAGGGACTGCAAGTTCATGGAAAACTTGACGTACAAGTATTGGGAGGCGGAAAATGAGGCGAAGATAGGCGTGCGGTTTGGGGAGGTGAAGAGTTCCGGCTTAGAGCATGTGGAGCTGCCTTTGGAGCTGAGTAGCAGGAGCACCATCACAAGGCAGTCTCCTCTTGTGAATGGGGGAAAGGAGGCCAGGAATGGAGAGGAAGAGGGGGAGGAGGTGCAGCAAGTAAGCAAGCGTGCACCTCGCACTACGAGTGCTCCACGGATTCGAGTCACCCCGCAGCAACGCCATGACAGCCTTCATGTCCCTGCAGCTGAGGAGGAAGGAAGGGGCCAGAGGAGAATTAAAGCCCCTAATAGGCTGACCTATGATGCACCAGGAAATCCAGTCAAGTCAGCCTTGGCCGGAGCGGCACTTATGGTAGGAGATGATGAAGAGAGTGACTACGAGGAGTGTGCTTTCACGTTCTTCTCTCCGGTGGAGATGCCGGGAGAACCAGCAACTCTCAAGGAGGCATTGGAGAGTAGTGATGCTGAGGAGTGGAAGAAGGCCATGGAGAGTGAGTTGAAGAGCATTGAGGAGAACGGCACGTGGGAATTGGTGGAGCTACCCGAGGGGCATAAGGCAATTACGTCCAAGTGACTCTTCAAGATCAAGTTCGACGCCGACGGCAAAATCGAGCGCTACAAGTCTAGGCTTGTGGCCAAGGGGTACCAGCAGAAGGAGAAGGTGGACTATAAGGAGTTGTTTGCTCCTGTGGTGAAGCCGACGATGCTGCGAACCCTACTCGCGGGAGCTACCATCAAAGGATGGGTGGAGAAACAAATGGATGTGACGACGGCATTCCTCAACAGCGTCCTTGAGGAAGAGATTTTTATGGCGCAGCCAGAGGGGTTTGATGATGGTAGTGGCAGAGTGTGGAAGCTGAAGAAGGCGCTATATGTGCTCAAGCAATCCCCTAGGCAATGGTACTTGAAGCTGCGAGAAGTTTTGGAGGAGATCGGTTTCACTCCCTCATCGGTCGATCATTCCTTGTTCATGCTTGGCGAGGGGGAGCAGAGGAGTTTCATGGTGGTTTATGTGAATGATATCTCTATATCCTCACCCTCCTCTGATCTTCTGAAGGAGGTGATGCTGAAGCTTCAAGACAAATTCAAGTGGAAGGCCCTTGGTGACGTGAACTTCTACCTCGGGCTTCATATCGAACGCGGCGTGGAGAAGCGGTGGATGCGAGTGCATCAACGTAAGTACTTGGACGCATTGGCTGCCAACTTTGGGCAGAGTGAAGGTCATGTGGCAACTCCATTTCCCTCTGGGTTCAAGTGTGTGAAGGGACCAGAGGAAGAGAGCGTTGGAGAAGAGGAGAGGCGCCAATTTCACTCGTTGGTGGGAAGCCACATGTATGCGGCGGTAAACACCCGACCGGACGTCGCCTTTGCTACCGGGCAGCTGGCTAGGGTTGTTCAATGCCCTAATGAAGAGCAGGTAGCAGCTGGAATGAGGGTGGCCAAGTATTTTGGCCAAATGGCGA